TAATATCGGTGTCCATTCTAAGCAATCTGGTTACATCGTGAATAAAACGGTTGAAGGTACGCTTAGTAATATTATGATGATGGGTTGAATTATGAATTGTGTTAAAATAGTAAAATGACAAAATGGCAACTTATGCAGCCTATTTTCTAATTGAAACTTCTTTAAGATAATTAACAAAGTCAGTATTAAAACTGTTAACTGTAAGTGAATATGATTGTAATCAAATAAATTTACCAATTATGCATGATAGAATTAAGTCTGAGTCACATAAATTTAGCTGAAATTATTAAAAAACGGTTCATTTAAAGAATTAAACAGTCAAAGTAAGCATAGATAATCCAATTTATTACTGGCAATGTACAGCTAGATATACAGTACTCTATTTTAGCTGCTAGTATATCATAAGAAATGATACTGCAGATATTATTACTTATAATGCCTATAAGTTTATAGCATTGCCATGAGCATTAGTGAAGCAATACTATAAAGATTGACATTGTTGAAACCGCTAAAAAATAGAGTGTTTTGAGGCTTTCCTTTTCGGAGAATGAAGAAAAGTTATATACTGTACAGTAGCACTAATATCATTCCATGAGGGGATTAAATTGCCCTTACGAGCAAAGTATATTGTCAACGATGTAACTGGTATCGATAGCCCGTAGGAAATGATGATTGGTAGATGGAATAGTATCACATATGACAGGGGTTTTGGTATTGTATGTATTAGCAATGTCAAAAACATTATATTAAGAGCTAGGAATTGCTTTGACATTTGCTAAAGTCTTTTATTAATAAGAGAGTGAAGAGAATCGCAAGATTATATATAATGCTAATCTTATCCAACGGCAAGATTATCTAAGCGTTACCAGATAAATCATTTCATACACGACATTCGTAGCTTTTACATCATAAGGAATTGAATTATTCCTGGTAGATACGAAAATACTTTTGTAGTTTTATAGTATATACCGTATGTTATATCCGTATTTATACCACGTATTCATACGTTTATCGGGTTTTAGCAAAGGTCGAAATATTAAAAAAGAGGAAATTTGAACATCTCTTATTTTCATTTCTTAAAGCCTTCGAAAAGAATGAAGAAAATTTTCGTAAGGCACTAGCAGCAAGCATTTCAATGTACTCCCAAATAAAGAATAAATCCATTTTTTCCTGCCGATGTGAAAGCATTTATAGTAAAGAAAATGATAAAATTAGCCCTATGGTAACCTATTTCGTTAATAAGCTTGTATAACCCTATTGAGTATATCATTCGGAAATAAAAAAATTACTGAGTGCACTGCTTTCCTCCTATTATTAAAATGTTATAGTAAAGCAACGACGTTATTTGATTACATTAGTCAACTAATAATGTAGTAAATTAAGGTTACTTCAATACCATTGCAATCCATTATAAGACATTCTTTGTCACTAAAAATACATTTTAGTGTACATTACAAGAGAATCAAGGTAGGACATCTGTTATTTTCCTATCTACCAATATCATCTTAGCTTATATCCTAAATAGACAAGAGATTAAATTAACGCATAGAACATGGTATTATACATGATCAATGTCTAGAGACTTTTAAAATAAAGGTCTTTCAAGGCTTTCCCTATCAATGACACAATATTCAACGATTTTTGTTTATACTGTAGTCCCCTATGTCTAATAGTAGACTAGATAAGTATTGCATTCTCTTTTATGGATTGCTAATAAAAAGATGTCCATACAATTCAGGTAAAAATTGGACAATACCAATATTAAAAGACGCAGAGTCTATTGATTTCATAATTAGCCAGACAAAAGGCAAATAGTAGTGTACTTTTATAGATTGCTTATATTGTTCTTATTTTGATACGGAATATTTTTTTTGTCCTTGTTGTCGTTATTGCTGCTCAACCTATCGTTGTTTGGTATCGAGAAAGATGGCGGCTAGGGTATCAGGATGGGTGAGGAGTTTTACCCGTTTAAAAAACGTTTCACAGGAGAACGTTCTTAAGACAGAGTTACAACGATGCCTATCTACATTTGATTTAGTGACTTTAGGCATCGGTGGGACTTTAGGCGCTGGTGTTTACGTCGTTACTGGTCAAGTAGCACGAAATATCGCTGGCCCGGCGGTTATTTTTTCCTTTGTTATTGCTGCCATTACTTCGGCTTTAGCTGCTCTATGTTATGCTGAATTTTCATCGCGAGTACCAAGGGCTGGATCTGCCTATACTTACTGTTATGTTACCGTAGGTGAATTACCAGCTTTTATTATCGGTTGGAATTTAATTTTAGAGTATTTAATCGGGACTGCTTCTATCGCTCGATCATGGAGTGGTTACTTAGATTCTATAATTGGCGGTGTCTACATTGATGCTTTAAAATCTCATTTTCCATCCATGGCAGGAAGTTTCTTTGCTTATCCTGATTTTTTAGCATTTTTCATCACCCTAATCGCTGTGACGATTATTGCTATAGGAGTACAAAAGTCATCCAGTACAAATATAATCTTTACGACAATCAACTTATCTGTTATCATATTTATAATTGTATTTGGCCTATTTTATGTCAATGTCGACAATTGGCTAGATCAAAATGGTGGATTTTTCCCATACGGTGGTGGTGGTGTACTTGCTGGCGCTGCAACATGCTTTTATTCGTTTGTTGGTTTCGATATTATCGCTACGACTGGTGAAGAAGCCGATAACCCTAAAAAATCAATCCCTGCTGCTATTATCATTTCCTTGGCAATTTGTTGTGTCGCTTATATCGCTATATCTATAGTTATGACATTGATTGTTCCATATTATATGTTGAACGAAAATGCTGCATTATCAGTCATGTTTGAGCAAGTTGGCGTTCCATTTGTCAAATATATCGTTTCGATTGGCGCTATAAGTGGTCTAAGTGCTAGTTTAATGGGATGTATCTTTCCGCTGCCACGAATTGTCTACGCTATGGCCAATGATGGGTTAATTTTTCAATTTCTTGCTCGTATACATCCCAAAACTAAAACACCGTTAGTCGCTGTGTATTTATTCGGTCTTATTGCCGCTTTATTAGCTATGCTATTCAGTATTGAACATCTTGTTGAAATGATGTCTATTGGAACTTTATTAGCCTACATGTTAGTGTCTTGTTGTGTCCTCATTTTACGTTATAGGCCAGATGATCAACAACATGGAATGGAATCATCTACGACAGGCGAGCAACGGCAGTTTAACGACGGTGATAAAAATAACTTTTCGAATAAACCTACCGAAGAACTAAGCCAATTAAATCGGTCCGATGATCAAAGCAATTCAGCGCCACTTTCAGACTCTAATCGATGGCAACAATGTGTATCTTATTGTAGGCAGTTTTTGACATCGCAACGGAGTTCATCTGTACCGACCGTGCAAACCAGTCGTGCTGTAACTACTGCTACGATGTTAATTATCGTATTCTCATTTTGCCTTTTTGCTGTTCTTATCCATGGCTATCAAGAGCTACGAAATGGCAACGGATGGCTAATCCTATTAGTTATTATCTTTACGGTAATAGTGATTTTTGCTATCCTAGGCGTTGCATTCCAACCACAAAGTCATGTTGTAATTCCATTCAAAGCTCCATTGCTCCCATTTATGCCAATTTTATCAATTATGGCTAATATTTATTTAATGCTCATGCTTCAACCAGTAACATGGATTCGTTTTGTTATTTGGTTAGCTATAGGTATGTATAGTATTTATCAATCATTTATGATTAAAATTAAAATTAATATCATTTTACGATTGCATAATAAACTAGTCAGAATTGAATGAAATCGGTCTCCTTAGTACTAGTAGTATTAGTAATCGCAGGACGGTATGAATTCATTGGTAGTACTATCTGATAGGGTACAGTATGCTCATTTCTGTTACTAAAATGCGTGGTTCTACTTGATCTCGTCATCAGGATTTGCCATCTACTTTTTTTACGGAATTAATCACAGTCGAGCTCAAGATGATCCAAGTTACGAGCAATTACCTCAATCGGCTCAGGCATTACTATCAGCTACTTCAGAAGAGGATCTGGCCAATAATGAATGAGGACTAAATAGTGAAGATCAGTTGGTATTTTGTCAGCAAATACAGAATCTACAGTACTTATCAGGCTATCAACCGGATATGATAAACTGTACGTTAGGTAAAGCAGCATATAGAAGGAACAAATTTATCAGAAAGAATCATGTATTTTATGCCTAGATAAAATTTAGTTGATGCTGATAAAATTCACGCGGTATTCATATATGTTCAGAAAATTGCTGCATTGATGTTAAACTAGTAAGGTGTCATTTTATATCCAAATTGGTGATTATAAGTATATTTGTACCCTTAATTTGAACAAAAATTGTCTATTTAACTACTAGCTGGGGCATGTTAATAAGTGAACAATCAGAGCCTAAAATTGCCCCGAGTGCTACGATCACATTAATTAGAGTTGTATATTTTACAATGAATAAAATTAGATTGGTCAGTTACCTGTATAATTCTACTCATAGTATGAATAAATAACTGTTGCAAACCATGGCTTAAGATTAAATTCTTTCTTTTTTCCAATTCTTTTTACTACATTTACTAATCACTGCCATCATCACCAGAATAGTGACTACGGAAATAAGAATACGCTTATTGCGGACTAGTTTAAGCTAAATAGTATAATCGCTTGTCGAGAACAGAATGCACATATAACTAATTTAAGCTAATCAATAGGATCACTTGTATTGCGACGTGATTGATGTTAACCGATAATTGTAATGACAAGCTTACGCAAACGAAATTGACTTTCTACTAAAGACATACGAGACAGTTACTACTACAACGTACAATCCGTTATACTGTTAACGCTCTCTACATTTATCTAATTTGCTAATTATACAATCGAATAGGAAACTGTAACAAGTACATAATTATTAAAGTGCGAATACTGTAATACGTAAATATACGCTGCTGATTCCAACTTAAAATCATTTTAAAATTAGATTATCCACACAAGTGAAATTTTTATTTTAGAAATCAGTGTCAAAATTAACCAAAAACGTTTTTAAATGTCGATGAAGATTACTTAGTATATAGTGGAGACAAACAACCAGTGGATCACCAGCTGGCAAGTTAACAAAAATTTTAATCAGGTACATATTCTACATCTATGACAATTTTTTACAAAATTTAATTACGCTTCAAGTTACGAGAAGCGAGTGACGCTGCCAACTCTTGCTGCATATTCTTTTGTTGTTGCCTCGAATTTAAATTTAATATTGACCTAAGGGCAAGAAATTAAGTTAATAATAATTCATAGCATCAAGCAAATCATGAGGCAAAACTTCGCCATAAATACAGTATGCCTACGATTATATAATCGAGATACAAAGGCTCGGTTGTAATCCTAATAAATTCACTGACATTAACGTACCTTACTCCATTAACGATATCCTTTGTTTTGCCAAAGTAGATATCGTTCAGGGTACTACGAATTTTATTTTCCATGTCTTCTATCATGCGGCCAATGTTAACAATGTGTGGAGTTGCATCTGTAACAATATGATCTGTTTCATGTTGTCGTGTTAGACTACCACCTAGGTTCATGGTTCCAGAACCCTCTTTAGCAGTCTGAATGGGAAATTGATTATTCGCGAAAGAAATATAGGTCATCGTCAGTTCTAGCATCAGTTTTTAATAAAATGTTGTCTATACTATAAGCGTAAAGACCGATACAGTTATAATCTATACTTCTATCGTGTAACCCATAACTTACGTATCATGATATAACATTAGTAAAAATTGAGCATAAGACAATACGGTCATTATAGCCATTATTATTTACCCGAAGCCATAACATAACGGTTGAGGTTAACTTGTAGTGAGCAGCTCTACCACTACCTTTCTCTTGCACCTCAACAACGTGAATTGAATCCCAGCAACCTTTAATGGTTTCAGAGCCTTCGCCAACTATTTGTATACAAAGTAAAAGGTAATTATATTATCAACACCAATTACTGTATTGTAGTTGCATTTTTACATCTTTTAGGACAGAATATTAAGCACTATATTGCACATCCGCCTTACCTTTCTTAATTAAAATTACTCCAGCGAAACCGTGGTCTAAATCCCACATGTATACTGAGCTGACACCACCTTCGAAATACCTGTTTAGATAAAATGGGCAAATAGTTACAATAGCGCGAACGATATTGCAAAGTAATCAAATATTTTTACTAAGATTCAAACTGCCTGATACTTGGATGTCAAAATCAATTTAAAACTAACTAAATTATCTGGCACTACGAAGTACTGTACGTAGTGTGAGTTACAATTATCAGTCCAGATTATTCATATCTTGTAACAAGTGATGGCAGAAGCTATACAAATGTAGTACGTTATTAAATCAGGCTACCGACCTATAGTACTGCATTATAAATGTAACTTTAGTTGGATTGTAAAAATCAACTTGATCGTTTTTAGAGAAACTATTTGATAAATAGTGACATATTTCTGCTTGTATAATAACTGAGTATATTTGCTAAACTTAATCATTAAAATTACGTTCATATTTATGAAATTTGACGCAGTATAAACCATAAACATTCCATTGCAGTCCAATAATGATCGATCACGTTGTTTTATTTGCTATCATTTCAGATTATAACTGTCTTAATGTGGTCTATTTACTTCTTGTGGTAGCACTTTTTACAGTAAAACTTACAATTCCCGATATTGATCAAAGGCATTGTTAGCTTCCACTTCTAGCTTTCGCAACTTATCCGATGGCATAACACCGTCATCTAGTTCAGGAAAGTATTGATTGCTCCACGGCGAACTATGCGGATCAGTCATAGTACATAAATATTAAAAATTGGCACTAATTAGATCGCTGAAGAGTTACGTTACATTTCTTACAAGAAGTGTTAGATCACATGAAAAGCGATACGATAACAGTATACAAGAATTCATTGCAGTCTTGAGGAAGCGGACGATAACTTATAACTACCCTCGCTAGTATCGATGTTTAGACTTACCGATAAGAATCACCATCGCGGTTGTAGTCACAAAGTAAGTAATCGCGGCCGTTGGTCTTATCTCTTGCAATTTTCAGGGGTTGATCTATGGAAGACAGCAGATCTTCACATAATGATGGAACCTAGAAATTATAAAGATTAACCTTAAAATAGAATGCAATGACTAATGCGTTTGATAACAAGAGCCGACATCACTATGGGCGTGCACGGCATAATAACAGAAGGAAGTGATTTGATGATAAATGCAAATCCCCAATCGGAATATTATCACATCGTTTTGTAAGTTGAATATTAACTTTATTTCTGCGATAGTACAGTATCAGTAAGAATTAGCATGTTTGATCCAAGATTTTATTGCACTGAAAGAGGGAAAAGTATGGTTATAAAACCTACCAAATCAATCAAGTCCATGAGATTCTTCTCGATCTGTTGCGGAGGCAATCGTCGCATTAAATCCAAAGCGCAATCAAGCTGTTGATCACTCTATCAGTCGAGAGAAATTAGAATATTACAGATGAACTGCAAGGGGAAAAATGTCTACGGCAAACATTCTAGACGCATAACTAGAAATTTTACTCATACTGAGTGAGGATTGCAATATGTGTAAAACAGCAGCACAAACGGTACAAACAAGAAAGTAGAGGACTCAATTACTGTAGGTTTCATTTTATTCCAAACACAGTACTGTATACAGTGGAGGGATTTTTGCGCCCAGTAGGTTCATAACCAAGTACCAATTTTCTCAACAATAAGGAATGATATTAAGACAGCAATTTGGAGGCGATATTTATTGAACTACAACAACAATAGGTACTAAAATATCCAGTACAGGCTAGAATGAACCGATAGCAAAGCCTTTTTGCATCATGTTAAGGACACTATACATTTAGTGTCCTTCAAGAACCACCTAGTCTATGCCCTATTTAACATTGACTGCAATTTGTAAGAATGACTAAGGATAAATAGTGAGTAACATGAATTTATAAGGTTAACTTAATTGACAATCTACTCATCATAATGTATTTTTACCATTTTCGATCTTTGGAACGGTTGTTACGGGCCAACTAAATCAAATCAAGGCAAAAATGAAATAAAATGGCACGCCAAATCGTTTCTCGCAGAGCAATCTCGGCTGCTGGTAGGTAAGTTCAAGGAAGTTCAATACTGTACAGTGTACAGTCCTGTACCGTGCACAGTGGGCCGCTACAGTATACAGTACTGTAGGTATTTTCCTATACAGTAGACAGGAATGACGGACGGAACTTTTGCCTTCGATCCCGGTCAAAAGGTACAGTGTAAATGTCCAAGAAAACTGCCTACAGTACAGTACAGTGTACTGTACTATAGCCATGTACTGTAGTGGAATACTGTACACTATACTGTATACTGTACAGTATGACTCAAAGTTTGTTGAGCGTTGAGCTGCAACAACGCGTCCATTTTGCAGAACTGTAACAGTGTACCACTGTACTGTACTGTGCAAGTGTGCAATGGCCGATGCCAGTATCAGAGGACTAGGAAAGAGAGAACTATCAGGGACTACTCGAAAGAGGAGAGAGACTGGACACTGTACAGTGTACCCTGGACAGGGCCAAAAGCTGCCAAAAATGAGAGGCCGACTTTTTTTCACTCATTATACCACAGTATAGCCTACCCTTGCCGATGGTGTTTTTATACAGTACTGTACACTGTACAGTACAGTACAGTACTGTACAATCCTATTGTTGATTGTTTAATGGCTTTTTATACTGTACTGTACAGTACGTACTGTACAATTGAAACGGCTAGGCATAAAAAAAGTTCGCTTGCCAACGATCGTATCCTGTCCGATTCTCTTCTTTCACGGACTTGTCTCTTTACGACGAATTTTCCCAATTGTCAATGATTTTGATAGTTGTTACAGAAATATCCCATTATTTCTGTAAGTATGATGACAAGCAATGATAATTCTGAAAATTTCCCTCAAATTGAACTCTACAATGACGCTTAAATAATTAGAATGGGCGATGCGATAAAACGAAAGCGTCATGTACTGTACAGTACAGTAGAAAATCAATCTACTGTACAGTAGTACAGTTTTAGAGTACCGTACAGTACTGTACTGAACTGAGTGTACAGTAGTACCAGTGTCTTAGTTCACTGGACTACAGTACTGTACGTGCTGCACTGTGTACTGTACTGTACTTGAATGTACTGTACCATACTGTACAGTGTACACTACCATCATGGTAAACGCCCATTTATCGCTTCTTCTCTATCATTAATTGCAAAACTTTTTCTAGAGACGTGGACAGTACAGTATAATTGAAGTTAATTATGCATCAGTACGGGGGTAGAACTACTAAGGTATGACACTGTGCTGTGCATTTGGAAGTTAGCGCGACATCACTTCAAAAATTGTGTGACATCATTTCTGTCGTATCACCAATTCAAGTTTGCGCGACATCACTTGAAGATTGTGTGACATCATTTCTGTAGCGTATCACCAGTTCTTACGGAATATTGCGCTGAGCCTTATGAGCCACCGTATACTGTAGAACAGTTTCAGCTAACTATTTTATGAACATTTTATAAACCGGCTGGTCTAGTAGACAGTGTACACTTCGGTAGAGTCTCCATAAAAGACAGATGGAAAACTGGATGAAAACAGTGACCAAGGACTACCGTTATTCAGTAGTCTCTGATTTCATGTTGACTTTTTACAGTCTACATCATAGAGTTATATAATACAGTAGATAAAAATTCTTCCTTTTACCTTTATCGCTTCTCTCTATCATTAATTTCAAAATTTTTTATAGAGAGGTGTACCGTACAGTATAATTTAAGTTAATTATGCATCAGCACGGGGTAGAACAGTTTCAGCTAACTATTTCATGAACATTTTATAAACCGGCTGGTCTAATGGACAGTGTACACTTCGGTAGAGTCTCCATAAAAGACAGATATGGAAAACTGGATGAAAACAGTGACCAAGGACTACCGTTATTCAGTAGTGTCTGATTTCATGTTGACTTTTACAGTCTACATCATAGAGATACTACAGTATAATACAGTAGATAAAACTCCACAAAAGCATGCGGCAATATCGCAATTACTATGCGTACAGTGTGTTGCACTGTCCTGTAGACGCAAGCGAAATTGACAGAAAAATGGAAATATCTTTCTTTAGCTTGATAGCTGAGAATGTCTACGTACAATGCGATTCTTTCAAAGTCTTTACAAATCTTGAACACAACACGCTTTTGCGCCTTTATCGACTTCGATGAAACTCTGATAAAATAGGGCAGGACAGTCTGTAAATGAATACTCGGCAAAGATATCCATGCTTATTGAAATCGCATCCCTTAATAACGAACTATATTCATTAAAAATGTAATTATCAAATCGTAAAGTTTATTTTTACTACAATTTCATACCATACAGTGCGTAATTGTGTAGACATCATAACCATAAAATTTTTATTTTAAGCTAACTTCAATGAAGTTGGTATTAGCACCAATTAATACCATTTACCTTACTATTGAAAAAATGAATCTTCCAGTAGTACTCGTAAATTAATAAGAAAAACAGTCATAATGAAATAAATCATAAAGATTTTTTCAGTTGTCTATCCATTGTCTTATTAGATGAAAATTTGGACTGTTTAATATTGTACTACTCCAATAAAACCTGTTCCTTATGTTGAAAGATATTATACGAGAGACAAAAATTTCATATATACGCATAGTGTAGGTCATAACGTCAAAGCCCTATAAGACTATATTTTGTTAGCAAATAAATGATAAGTTAAATAATAATATCGTTTTTAACTGTAGCGTTTGATATAAATGGGGTAATGCTGTAAAAACGTTCAATGATAAAAAGCTTCATGCCAAGTTCTCTAGTTTATTACAAATTATATTAAATTAATAAAGAAGTCGATACATGTACAGTAGAAATGATATAATCCCGAAACGTTGTTTGTAAGTGTCAGTTCTATATTTCATTGACCCTTAGCAAAACCGAACTTATCGTAGCGCGTTATTACATTAATAAAATAAAATAATATAAAAAATAATCGATCTAAATTATTTGTAAAGACAAAATAATTTTTCCTCCTATAATTCTGTCTAAATTGCAGCATGACTTATCCGCGGTAGAAAGGATTATAAAATAATTATGTTGCATAATGACCAGAATTTGCCTTTGAATTCAATATCTAAAACCCAGTTGTAGCTATCAGTAGAAAACTTTCATACTTTCAAATCCAAATGTTGCAAAATTAGACTTTCCTGTAATATGTACAATCATAAATTTAGTAAGTGACACACGATTTTATATATCGTAAAAGAATCCCGTCTATTACCAATAAAAACTAAATTTAGCGAAGGTCAACAAGGGCATTTAATTAATTAAAATCGTGGAAAACTGTAATCGACTTTATACCAGACTTACTGAGCAGATAAAGACAACGTTCTCAAGTACAGTCGCTTGGCCTGCGCCATCTTGATGGGATTTCTGGTTGCCCCTAATTTCTGCAATTTTAGTTGGAGAGCACATAATTCTACGCCATCTTTCATCTGCAACATGCTTTGGTCAATTGGCTTACTTCTATTCCTATGCCCTTTTTGCGACGGGGTCCGCAACAAGCTTTCTGTCACTCTACTTAGGGGCGGGCTTTTAATACCATCAGATATTGGATCTTGATCTGCGCTTGTGTTCTGTGAATTATTTGGTGGCATCTCATTGTAATTATAATTTGCCATGTCAACCTCGGCGTCAGCTGCGGGGTTGTTCTCATAATCATCCCCGTCCGATAATTCTCGGTCCACATCGTCATCGCTATGGGTGACTTGCTCAGAATCATCAATAACAACTTCCACCGCTTTAGAGTCTTCTTCGTCCTGATCAGATGTCGAAGAAGCAACATCCCTATCAGTATGCTCATTTTCAGGAAATTGATTATCGAAAACGTCGTCGTAGCTGTCGTCTGCAAAATCTGGCGGAGGTGCAATGGTTAAAAATGCGGATTCAGATTCGTTACCAGGTAGCGCTTCGCTTGGCATCGCCAAGTCAGGTGATAATTCGCTCGGAATCACATCAGACTGATCACAAAGATTTTCATCAACACGATTATCAGCATCAAGAACTGGTGCATTGCTGCTTTCTTCAGTCAACGCTGTTTCGTTACTACTTATAAGTTCTGTTTTCGTTTCTTGAGGAAGTTCCTCTCTGTCAGGTAATTCAGTATTCATTACTTCTTCACTCTTTACTGTGGGGACCTTGCCAGTATCTAAAATCTCGGCGTTCTCGGCCATATTCTCGTCAACCTTTACTTCATCCGAGGTTACTGGAACGGTTTCCGCCTTCAATATATCATCAGCTAGTACAACTATGGCTTCATTGTCTGGTATATCTTCTTTTTTATCGGAATCTCCAACAATTTGTTCGTTGATGCCGTCAGTATCGGTCGACTGTTCCTCCTTTACTAACGGATTCACTTCTTCTACTTGATTGCGATTTTCACTATCTACTTCTTTAATCTCTTGCTTCGAATCCGTTACATTAGGTTCTTCATTGTTACTATCACCATTGCCACTTGCTTGGCTTTCTAAATTATTACCTACGTCACCTTCTGTAATGGTTTGTTGATTATCAGAAGTTCTGATTTCAGTTTTGATTTGATCTTCGTCATTAACAGTCAACCGTATATCATCCACGACGTCTTCCTTTGTTTTTTCTTTAGGGGTCTTTTCAGTTTCCAATTCATTATTAGTAGATGCTGACTTAGCGTACTCAGGTGACTCTTCCACGTTTGCATCATCATTACTCAACAGATTATCATGTGATTCCTTGGAGTTTGATGCTTCTTCTAAATTTTCTGTATCCTTCTGTAAATCACTTCGTTCTTCTAAATTTTCTGTAGCCTTCTGTAAATCGCTTAGTTCTTCCAAACTTTCTGTATCCTTCTGTAAATCACTTCGTTCTTCTAAATTTTCTGTATCCTTCTGTAAATTACTTCGTTCTTCTAAATTTTCTGTAGCCTTCTGTAAATCGCTTAGTTCTTCCAAATTTTCTGTATCCTTCTGTAAATCACTTCCTTCTTCTAAATTTTCTGTATCCTTCTGTAAATCACTTCGTTCTTCTACATTTTCTGTATCCTTCTGTAAATCACTTCCTTCTTCTAAATTTTCTGTATCCTTCTGTGAATCACTTCGTTCTTCTACCTCAGATGACTCACCGCTTTCGGCAGTTAAATGATCGCTATCACTTATGTTCTCTTTGAATCGATTCTTTGCAGTTCTAAATCTGGTTTTAGATAGTTTCATCTTTCCATCATAAACTTTGTTTGACTTTGATATTTGTGGAGACCCGCTCGGCGTAATTTGAACGGTTGCTATATCATCGTTTTTATTTTTATCCTTAGATGTCCCATTAGATTCCCGGATCGTTTCGTCTATTTCATCTTTACCTTCAGGATTGGTAACATTAGAGATTTTACCTTCATCTGGATTTAGATTAGTGGAAGTATCTTGCTCGCTGAGATTCGTACTTGACTCTTCTTTATCTGCTTCGGTAGTCCCTAATGAGGTCGTTTCCGATTCGGTAGCAACAATTGCAATCCCTTCTGTTATTGCATTATTAGATCTTTCCGGATTTCGTACAGGCAAGCTAAAGTTTATAATATCCTGACTTTGAAATTTTTCAGGAGATTTGCGTTTGTGCTCATATCTTCCAGCACCAATTCCTTCTTGTACCGTTTGAGAACGTCGCAGTGATGCTATCATTTTCTTAGGCTTAGGAGATGATGGCGGAGAGTATTCTCCCGACGCAATGGATCCTCTTCTCGAACTACTATTAGGTAATTTCTCTGATGAAATAGATAAAAACGAATTATTTCTTTCAAGCTCTGGCCCCAATCGGTTAGATATCGTTGAGATGCTTCTTCCTCTCTCTCCATTCATAATTAAATGATCACTGCTATTTGAATGTCCAGATCTCCGGAAGCGAGAAGGACGGGCTATAGGCGATGGAGGAGGAGTGCCAAATAACTGTGTGAAGTTTCCATTTTCAGCGAGCAGATCCTTATATTCTCTCTAATAGAATATTTTGAAATAATCAATCAAGTATGAATAAAATTTTAAACTATCCCAATAAGGTTTATTGAAGAAGCAAACTGTACATACAGTAGATTTGTTGATGGCATCTATCCATTCATTATTGGTATGCTCCGAACTAGTAGATTGCAACGCTAGAGCGGATACTGCAGTATTGAATTCACTTAAGTAGATGATTAGAAAGTAGCCTGTTTCGTATTGACAAATAAAAACGTATTTCATAATTTGTTAATAAATAGTAAGTCAAAAAACATAAGAAATCATTTTAGCCTTAACAGAAACATTTATTGGATGGCCGTAAAAAATTCACCTGAGTCTTTTAGATTGTATACTTTGATTTTATTCAATAAATAGGGCTGTAGATATAGAATATGACAGTTAAAATTAATAACGTAATAATTAAAATCGATGGTTACGTTATATTGCATTGGCAGTAACAACATAAATCGGTTGGCATACCTGTCTGATAACTTTAATTCTTTTACCGCTTTTGGACTGCTTTGTGATGAGAAGGTGGTCGGTGAATAAGAACCCATATGCATCAATCTACATACATTAGAACAGATCTGAACGTTACTGAGTAATAGTTATAATTACGTGTGCAGAAAAAGTGTAACGTCTGCTGTACTATTTATCCAATTGTTGAGAACTCTATCAATATTACGTTTAAACGACAGTAGATTGATCGGCGCTAATATAAAACATTTTTCGACCGGGTTTTAAAGTAAAACCTTACACTTTGGGTTTATTAAAGAATTCTAATACAATTTAAGTAATTAACTACAGTCAGCTGTAGTATAATTAAATCATACTTTAGATATTTTGGAGGATCTATCATCCAATGATTGGGTATCGATCCAAACCTGCTTGTCTGCCTCAGTTTAAGTTCTTATTGAAGATGAGAGTATTTTACAGTAATACTGATTTTGTAACATTTGTTACGTTGGGTAATAAAGTGGCTTAATGCAAGTTGTAAAAGCTTTTTAAGACTTTAAACATTTCGAACAGTGCCTATTTGACCACTTGCTAACTAAGCTTCTTGCTACCGTAGCATTCAGTGATATTGATTAAAAGTATCGTTTAGTGAGCCAATCGATGGAGCAATTAGAGTGTGGAGAGATTTACACTAGCATTTCTCTAGTCTTTCGTATTGTAAATTGTGGTTGTAGTAAAAATAGATATTCCAAACCTTAGCATCTTTCTCTTTTAACCGCAAAGGTCCTTCTTTAATAATTACTCTCGTCTCATTCGGACAAATCAAGGGCATCGAACCAGTTAAGTTAAGATTACTAAAGTTGTTCAAGTACTAGAAGAAGAATTATAAATTACATAATCAAAACTGAGTAGTTTCCAATTCTTAGAAATGAAGTCAGGGAGGGTATAAATATGAGTAATTACTACCACTACCTCAATTTAGACATAAACAGCAAGAGTTGTTATATACCTTGCCGACTTCTTCATTTATCGGTTCTATGACAGTATAGCCTTCGATTCGGCTAACTGAGGTACACATTTTTTCATATTCTTGCTGGTCTTTTATTGCGTTATTAATCTTTGTAGTAAATTGTTCCACTTGATCACTCTGTAGAGAATAAAATTCATTTAATCCAAATATGAAGAAGGGTACTTTTATGTATTATTAATTGATTAATTATTGAAAGTAGTATTTACCATTGTTTGTATATTTTGTTTGCCTATTTCATCATCAAGATTTTTTCTAATTGCTTTAAGCAACAAGGGATATCTTGTTATTCTTTGCATTGGCTTTGCTAGTAAGTCGGGTAACTGTAGACGGTTGAGTTGCTTTCGATTTTCACACCACTATAAATTAAATTTGAAAAATAAAGTCAAACAGTTTTGTTACTTACGCACTTACTTTTGTTAATATTAATTTGCATCTAATCATATCATATTACAGTAGCACTAAGATATAATAATTACTTACTTGCAAAAAAGTTCTAAATTCGCTACTGTCTTTCATCTTCTCTTTAAGATATGTAGTCATCCTTGTTTGCTCAACACAATAGTGTATATATGGAGTAAAATGTTCCCTTATCTAGCGTTTAATAAGAAGGGTAAATAAAGTAAATCGGGGCTTCAGCTATTTTTTACCATGAAATTTTATTCAAATTTGATAATGCCCAAAATACATAATAACCTTCGCACAATATTTGTACTTCTACTATACATTTTTTTAGTTCAAGGTGTAAATTTATTGAAAAGGATATTACAATATTACCGTGGCATTAAACGATTCCCACGCGCAACCAAGCGTCAAGGGTTGTTTTGTTGTTTTTAACTGCAAAATTTGGTAAATCATTAATAAAAATTCTCCCTATTAAGGTGTTTTCTAAGGATAAGTAATACTACTAAACAATTAAGAAGTAACATTACTTGATCAACAATGGGGGCAAATGAATTTTTCCATAATATTGCATTTGAATCGTAAACGTCAGAAATGTTGCAGAACAGTTTACTGATTTCCACCTGTCATAATTTACAATGATATTTTATAATTAGGAAGACTAATATACAAGAGAGGATAATTCATACAGTTCGACGATAAAAACATATCATCAACAGTTACTGTATTGCACTAACATCTTGCAAATAATTTTCTGCACGAAGTCTGCAAAGGCTTCCTTGGAAAACCTATTTAAAATATACAAAGTTAGATTAAGATAATGTATACCGGTAATAATTATAGTTATATGTAGATCATTTCCTCACGGACCTGTAAAATTGTTTTGAGATCACGTAAGTAGCCAACTTCAGTCGATAACAACTCCCATATAGCTTGTTGATGGTCCATTTGGCGTTTATTTAATTCCTAGATAAGCAACAAAAATTTGTGAGCTCAGGTAATCTTTTAGCTACTCCGTAGGAAGCACTTTCGTTACATAAACATACCTCTGATCCCTCTACATAGTCTCTCCAGGAATCACTCTAAAATAACAAAAAGGTATGAATTGTTTCATATTTAATTGCTAAAGTCGTTAAAGTCGTGAAAGAATCCCTAGATTCTCTATCCTATATATTAATAAATAAGAAAGCTCTTACCAGTAGAAATGTATATGATTCTTCAATGTAATTTTCCTTCTCCTCTTCGAAAGTAGATTCTATTTCTTCTAAAGAATCTGCTAAAGTTTTGATGCCTTCAGACTGCTTTTAATTAACAAAGTAGGTATATTTTATCATTAATCAAGCGTCAAATTTATAGTATTTCAATTTATTATTCAGTAATAGCTTAAGCGATCATGCATACTTTTGATGAGTTATTGAAAATTGCAGCTAATTTACTTCCACTCTTTTTCGATATACTACCAGAGTTTTCAGAGATTGGAGTAGGTGGTTTAACAGGTGGCTCATTAGAATCTGGTTTCTTCTATAAATAATCATAGCGTAACAAGAATATTAACTAAAAGATTGTTGATTAAGGGATTAAAACAACATTATTTTTATTTTAAAATAAAGAAAATTTGGATCCATTTCTATTACTTATAAGAGTATTATATGTGTATTTCAATTTATACCCTAAGACTCTGGTTTCGACTATCATTCGTATCAGTGAGCGAATCTTTACTGTCTGTTTTTGTTATTGCCGCAGGCCTTTTCTGTTTTGCTTTAGTCTTCTTAAGAATTTGCTCATCAACTAAAAATCATGACAAGTTAGTTAGTTTAATATGGTTTCAGATAAGTAGTAGAAATATTTAACAGAAAGAGGATTGATATTAAGCTACTCAAATCAAGTTCATCTAGCAAATAGGTTTATACCGTATAATTTAGAATTTTACCTGCTTTCACATGAATAGTACAACCACCTAGCGGATAACTGTTGAAGGTATACGGTAACGCAGACTGTGAAGATTCCAAATAAACGTTGTAGTTTTGAAAATTTAAATCGTGCTTTTCGTAAAATTGCTGTAAAACTTCCCTAAATTACAGGCCCAAAGAAATATTGTTTAAATGGTGATCCACAATAAGACTACAAGATCAATCTAACGTTTTCATGAAAGGTATGTCATTGGATATAATTAATCAGAGATTGATTAGATGTTGTAATGAATAAAACTACCGTAATGTTTTTCCTTTAGATACTGATGCTTTTTCTTGAATACACTTTCCGTTATCAGTCTGCCATGATACTTTTAAACACTTGCCGTCCTTTTTTTTGAGAAATTACAGTTATAATCAAATCTTGACATGCTTTATACCAATAATTTCTGAAAGCCGTAAGAGTGCAATTATAATTGCGGTTTACCTCCGTATTAATTCTTTTTCCAGTTTTGTCTTTCTTTCCGAATACAGAAGACATCAGTGAAAATCTATACCAAATGAATACAGTAGTTACATGAAAAGTTGTATGAAATATTCTATAAGCATGAATTTATTGCTATACAATAAAGATACAGAGTACCTTAGCTAGTAATACTAATAGACTATTACATTTCTACATCATAGTGATCGATTACAATGACCGTACCACTCACTGATTTGTGTTTATAATAGCAATCATGCTATACTGTAAAAGTATGTATGTATTAGAACTACTACTATCTATAAAAACTATTGTATACAATTCATACTTTCCAGTAGTCTCTTTATTAGGAGCGTTATCTAATGCAGAACTAAGGATTGCAGATACATGAGAGCTGTCGATATCATCATTCCGGTTTGATGTATTGATTTGATCATCAGCATGTCCGTCGCCTGCAACTGAAAAAAAATTTGGTAAAATTGCATGAAAATTAACTGGCTAACATCTGCATTAAGAGTATTTAGTGAAAATATAGAAGGATAACAAATAATCAAATGTCGATATTGAATAGGCACAGTTTATTGGTAGCTGATGTTGACTCGTAATAATATCAAGATAGTAATAAAATTTTCAGTACAGTACAGTTTTTACCATCGTTGGAATCTACTGCTGCTGCAGTAACGTTATCTTGATTGCTGGCGTTTGAAGATGACATTGTAAGAGCGTTACAAACCAGATAAATAACGAGGCCGGTCTCTCAAAAATTTGGGCAATATCGTCTCTTGTTACCAAGGATTAATGACACAGTTGCTTAGCTTTGAAAGGTTAATTGGTCGATAGTTAACACCTCCAATTTAATCCAATTGTGTATTAAATCTGCAAAAGTCAAGATATATAGCATAGATATTAAAAGATCAAGACAACTCTGCATAGGATAAAATGCTGAATATGCGGTATACGCGTATATAATACGACTATACTTGATTCGATTTGGTGAATATGCAGAAATTACATAAATTTTTACAGAAACTACTACAAGACAAATAAAGTAAAAAATAGCCCGTAGGTAGATACTGTCATGCTATTTCTATTCCGTAACTTGAATTTCTTATTCTATCAACTACTTACTGTATTCTGTGAAGTTATGAGTAATCAAGAGGTACTGAAGTTGTGACAGAAGTAATGCAGTTTAATAAAATATACGTAACTAATTAATATGCTAGCACGTCCGTCATATCCTACTTTTATCATTTAATCGATTTTGGTGAATTACAGACAAAATCCGATAGAAAAGCACTCATTTTCTTACGCGTATTCTTATACAAGTCGCGTACAATAATTAAAATCAAATTTAATTTTCATCATCTTCGCATAACAGTAGATGAGTAGATCATTGATCTAACTCTAAGAATGTTTACTTTATAAAAGTTTTCCTATACAGTGAATTGATATTCGTTATTTGTTCGAGATGAGATTGTGTACTAAAGATTATATTATTAGGTATTAATTGTCTCGCATACTTCTATTTGACGTTTAGTAGCGCTTCAGATAGCTAACAGTATTACTGTATACTGTACAGTGAATAGCTACTTGATAATCCATGATCAGTTAGCAACTCGATACACAAAACTAATTTTGCCCGATGGAAAAAATAAAATTACGACGGCCCATGAAATTGATTTTCATGACCTTCATAGGCCATCGTAACTGTTTAAACTAACTTTGCCCGATGGAAAAATAAAATTACGACGGCCCATGAAAGTGACTTTCATGATCTTCATAGGCCATCGTAACTGTTTTCTTTTGGATTGGAAACAAATAATAAGGTACAGCAGATTGTTCATCTAGAACTGAAGAACAGTTCTACTGTACACTGCATACAGTACAGTACTGTGTCCTGGTCCAGAATACTGTACACTATAGTAGTACGCATGATACGTATCTCTACAAGGAGTAAGTACTGTACTGTTCAGTACCGCATATTTAAGCTGTAATAAACATGTCTTACATGTCAGCAACAATGTGCGAAATACAGTATATCAAAATGTGATGCATGTCATATAAATCTTACTACTGTAAACTTCTTCGACCATTGATTACATCCTGTTTCATTCCGTTAAAAATCGATAACATTAAGCTTGTGTGCATCACTGTATCACTATTCGCAAAGGTTCTACTAGCCAGAGGCATAACAGTACCAACACTAAGACTCCAAGAGTATTTACTTGCTGTAAGAATTTACAACCCGTGCTGCTCATTACCGTACTTCGATAGCCAATGTCATAGTCTTACTGTAAATCTCCGATACACGAATCGATACATCTCCAGTTGTCACCAAATAAACTCTATTTCATCCGCCCATTCCGCTAATTAATAAAAATTATAACTCGTACCATAAGCACATTCAACGATAAAGATTATATTAGATTAATACCGGTATCTTTCAAAAAATATCTACAGTACTACGTGTATAAGTAATGTGATCAGGAGATTTTATGCTTACATACTGTACACAATCATCATCAAACGTCTCTAAAATACTGTATAAATGGAAGGTATTCGCTTGCTCGCATATTGGTAAGAAAAAAGCCAAAAAAATTTGGTGAGTCATTGCAGTGCTAAATAGCGACTTGAGTTCGAATAACTCGGTCTTGTTTCAGTTATTTGGAAATACATTAAGATAGAAATGCACTGCTAAGTGTAGGGATGAATCTCATTTTATGTACTGTTTCTGCACTCGAGTATTACATGTACTTGGTCGTAAAATTTTACATATTGTGGCGACTATGACATGGATGACGATAGTTAACACTATAAGAAAGTGCATTAATTGACAGGCAGGCATGTACGTACTTGTAATAAAGTAGTGTAGTCACATTTATCAAACGTTTTTTTGAATTACATCCTTGTTTTGGATGTTTATAGTGTTAACGAAAGGAGCCTATTAAAATTTTTCACGACAAATTATTCTATTCATTTTACTATCGTAGAGGAGTAATATCCAGTAAAGCATAACCCTAGGTGGGATTGTTACGCTCATAATTGTATAATTATATTATCAATTCTGATGTTATTGTTACGTCGCAATGGTACGCATGGACATGATAAACTGTTACATTCATACAGTACTGAAAAGTCAATGCTAGACTGTATGTTCACAACATCATTTTGAAGAGGGGTAACAACAGCTATTTATTGCTGTGTGTATTACTTAGACTGCACTGATTCATATCGTCTGAAACACTCTATGGGAAGTAGTAATGACGAAGCTATGAAAGGACTGGACCTTTTTTTAGTTGGGTCATAAATTTGTAATTAAAAACGGCTCTTTATTATGGAGAATATTTCGATAATACTGATTGATGATCGGTGTAGCATCGTAGCAGAAGCTACTCCGAGGCTAGACGCTAACTGTAGTAACCCGGTAGGCTATATAGTCAGATGTCGGGGAGCCAGACAGTATCTGTATCTGTCAAAATTAATCGAGATAGCCAATCGTCTGGATATCGAAAAGTATCAATAATAACTATATAATCCAAGCAAATGGACGCAATTTGACAGCGCTGGAGACTACGCACTTACTTCGTAGTATTCTATCCCGCAGCAAGCATACAACAACATTGATCATGTTGATGACTATATTAGTCATGTTTAGTCCATGGGGTGTTTTGCTAGTTTGTAAAACTTGTACTCAGTTGTAGTCATAATGTCTAATGATGTCGAAAGTGATCTACTCCATTCTTTGCATCTAACAACCGTCATCATGAGGAGTCCTAATCAAGAAACAGACGCCTTTTGATCACTTTTGATGACCATTGTATTAGCAAAATGGAATAACTAGACATTGCTGGTCAATACATAAATAGTATATAGTACAGTCCGATTGAATAGTCATTTAATTTAATTTTACTTATTGTACTAGGTTATAAATGTAGTACAAAGTAAAACATGACGATGGAAATGCTAGCAATCCTAGCCCACAATCGTTCTCCATTTCTGTAATGTAGTTGAAATACGTAATTCTTTAGTTCAGCAATACATAATAATAAAAAAAATAGCTTGTTGCCTACCATAGTATTACTCTGTTCGTATCGCGAGTGGATATCACCCAAAATTATAAATACAATAGTAGGAAAGGCCGTGTCAATACAATTTGTTCATCACTGGCTACAATGTAAATGGCAATTTTTTTTCTCTCCCATGGATATAACATGAAGAACGCTGGTAATTTTACTTCACATTATAGTTCATTAATTGATTCATCTACTGGAAAGTAGAATTATAACGTTACAAGCGAGTTAACTTAGCTCGCTAGCTATCGACTCCAATGGAGTGTAGCTTTCTTTATCGGCTCAAAATGCATGTCTTTCACTGATATCGAAATGAATGATATGCTGTTACGTAGTCATTTCTCATTAATCAGAGGAGAAAAAAAAAATGAAAAACAGCTAACGAAAATAGCATGAGACTAGAGCCCATTTTACTTGTACCTCGACTTGAATAGTACCTACTTCTTTCTCTCCACCGTCTTGATAAAATAATTAATTAATGTAGAATCTGCCTTTGAAAAGTCCAACTTTTCTTTCCAATTGTCGATCACCACAAGCAAAAACAAACTTTTGCCTTACCAGCTGCTCAAATACACTACTACTTGTCCTTTCTCCAATTTACCTGCAATCATTCAATCTTTGCGTCTATCGTACCGGTAAATTAGCACCACTTTTGGCAATGCCTACGGGAAATTAATTAAAATGATCTACTTTCAATGAATTCAAAGGCCCTCTGTCCAGCAAAGTTTAGGCCTTGCTCTCCACTGGTTGTACGGGACTTTCCAACCGATTGTTTAGTGACGTCTGCCATCCAATCCAGCCAATACAATACACAGCGCAATGGCAGTACCAGCCTACCAGCCGCCTACTGTATTCAAGAGTGTAAAGTACTGTACCACTGACTCACTGTCACGACTGTGGATTTCTTTCTTCTGGTATTGGACACAGTACGCACAGTACTGTACTGTACACTACGTTGCTGGACCAGCCGCCTATTGTATTCAAGAGTATAAAGTACTGTACCACTGACTCACTGTCACGACTATGAATTGCTTTCTTCTGGTGACGTACTGTACAGTACGTCGCTCGACGGATGACTGCATTATTATGAGTCATTGCAGCCCTAGGGTCTAACCAAACCATCGACAGGTGTACAGAGTGTCCAAAAATTATCCCAGCGCACAAATTTAAAATGAGCATGGCCAAATCGTGCAGTAATTTGCCAAAAAAGTGTACCGAAATGTAGAGTAATAAATAACCTATCATAATCTGAAAATTATGTGTACTGTCAGCATGCATTGTCATGAGTTCACTCGGATAGTAACAACTGTACTGTAGCTCATCGTACGATACAGTACTGTACAGTATACTGTACTGTAGTACAATATATTGTAGTGTACTGTACTGTACTCCAGAAGCGACTGGTTCAAGGCAGCTCGACTCATGCGTATTCTATACCACCATCTACTGCATCGACATGGTATCGATGGCAACTCTCCAAAGTAAAATAGTTCAAATCGACATTATTATTATTAAATGATTAAAATGAATCAACGGTAAATAAATAGATACTTCAACATCGAAGTAAACGAATACCAATGCCAAATTTAGATGTATTCTCTATCCTATAATCACTCAATACATCGATAGATATCGAGTACAGGAT